CTCTCTATTTATTTACAATAGGTTCCCTGCCAATGTTGCTGGGGATATATGTCTGTGTGTGTGTGTGTGTGTGTGTGTGTGTGTGTGTCATCATCGTCATACTGCTGTTGTTTCTTGGCCAGAAACTAAAACTATCCTTTGGGTGAATAGTTATCATTTGCAAGTCTCTGGTTCTTGTTTTGTCCGATTATTCTTACCACCAACAGTTTGGTAGTTTGTTGTCTGGTGGTCCCACCAACAGAAGCTGGAAGGGACCTCACAGGTCTTCTAGTCCAATTACTGCAGGAGACCTTATACCATGATGGCGAACCTTTTAGAGACCGAGTGCCCAATTGGCAACCCAAAACCCGCTTATTTATCACAAAGTGCCAACACGGCAACTTAATATGAATACTGAGGTTTTAGTTTAGAAAAAAAAAACAACTCATACATAACTATCTTTTTCGTCTTAAAAGAAAAACACAATAACAAAGCTTTCAATGATACAACTTTTTTTACTGAAAGGTAAGTTTGCATTTGGCACGCTTTTGAACAATTCATGTGATTTTTTTACTGTTGTATACATGCTGATAATTTGTCTAACCTTGATTTATACTTTGTAACTTTGAGAGCAACACACGCAGCACTCGGGTCATCTGTTAGTCTGTTTCTGGTGTCAGATAATTCAAAGCTGAAAACAGCCCACTCGCTCCAGAGGCTTGTTTTGGCTAGGAAGGGGCTTGAGAAATGGCTTTTTCCTGTGAAAAGAGCGAGGAGCATGGGCCCGCAGAGAGGGCTCTAAGTGCCCCCTCTGGCATGCATGCCATAGGTTCGCCACCACTGCCTTATACCATCCCAATCAAATGGTTGTCCAGTCTCTTTTTGTACAGGATGATAATAATAATGATGATGATGATGATGGAAGGGACCTTGGAGGTCATCCAGTCCAACCCCCTGCTCAGGCAGGAAACCATATACCATTTCGGACAAATGGCTATCCAATCTCTTCTTAAAAACTTCCAGCGTTGGAGCATTCACCGCTTCTGGAGGCAGGTTGTTCCACTGGTTAATTGTTCTAACTGTCCTTAGTTCTAGGTTGCTTCTCTCCTTGATTAGTTTCCATCTGTTGCTTCTTGTCCTGCCTTCAGGCACTTTGGAGAATAGCTTGACTCCCTCTTCTTTGGGGCAACCCCTGAGATATTAGAATACTGCTATGTCCCCCCTCATCCTTCTCTTCATTAAACTAGACATACCCAATTCAAGCAACTGTTCTTCATATGTTTTAGCCTCCAGTCATCTATTAATTGTTCTCACTGCCATATTTCCAGGTTGTATTTCCCTCTGATGAGCTTCCCCACATTGTCTTCTTGATCTGCCCTCAGGCACTTTAGAGAATAAGTCTTCTTTGTGACAGCCCCTCAAGTACTAGAAGACATTTGTCATGTCCCCCTTAATCCTTCTCTTAAGACAGGCTGCACCCACCTGTAGCTCCCTCAACCATTCATCATATGATTTAGGCTCCACATCCTTAATCCTCTTTGTAGAAGATCAAGGTGGCTCGCACAGTTTAGGATGTTGAGTTGGAGGTTAGCAAGCCTCCATTTGAGACCCAAGTGCTGATGTGGGTTGGGGTGAGCTCCTGTCTTTCACTCCAGCTCCTGCCAGGGATGTGAAAAGTCTTCTCCAGGGCAACAGTGATGTCATTGGCTAATACTTTCGATCTGGAAGCATCTCAGTGAGTGCAATGGGATCAGCTTCTTCTTCTCTGCATGCTTCCTTGGGTCATTGGCTAATACTTTCGATCTGGAAGCACCTCAGTGAGTGCAACGGGACCAGCTTCTTCTTCTCTGCACACTTTCTTGGGTCATTGGCTAATACTTTTGATCTGGAAGCACCTCAGTGAGTGCAACGGGACCAGCTTCTTCTTCTCTGCACGCTTTCTTGGGTCATTGGCTAATACTTTCGATCTGGAAGCACCTCAGTGAGTGCAACGGGACCAGCTTCTTCTTCTCTGCACGCTTTCTTGGGTCATTGGCTAATACTTTCGATCTGGAAGCACCTCAGTGAGTGCGACGGGATCAGCTTCTTTTTCCCTGCAAGCTTTCTTGGGTCATTGGCTAATACTTTTTATCTGGAAGCACCTCAATGAGTGCAACGGGATCAGCTTCTTCTTCTCTGCAAGCTTTCTTGGGTCATTGGCTAATACTTTCGATCGGGAAGCACCTCAGTGAGTGCGACGGGATCAGCTTCTTCTTCTCTGCATGCTTTCTTGGGTCATTGACTAATACTTTTGATCTGGAAGCACCTCAGTGAGTGCAATGGGATCAGCTTCTTCTTCTCTGCACACTTTCTAGGGGCTCAGCATCTGTCTCTCTTTTTTTTTTTATTGTGGTGACAATGACACATTAACTGGGTTTCCCAAAAGCACAGAACAAAGAATAATAAAGTTAGAAGGGAACTTGGAGATCTTCAGAATAAGAAAGCTTTCTCCTTTTTTTAGTGTTCTGCAATGGATTATGGTAAATAGACACGGGGAAATGGATGTTTTCAGAAATTTGAGTTGACCGAAGAGCTATGACACGGGACCAATGGCTGAAGACCAATATGTAATCCTCAGCCTAGTTGCCCCAGAAATGGAGATGCCCAGAACACACTTGTGATTCAGTACTGCTAGCTCTCAACCTCCTAATTCTGGTTTCCACCATTGTCACTAACATTCACCATGAAATGATAGCTGTTCCCAATTCCCATCATGAAGCATTTTTCGCCAACCCACATATCAGAAGCTGTCCTCCCTGGCCAGGGATATTCAGGAAACACAACACAGAGCTGTTTGTATCCAGCGAAAAAAACATCTGACACATTGCAGGAACAAGGTTTTTTTTTTCCCCTCACCTTAGCAACGTGTTTGCTTCATTAGTCCACCAAAATAGGGCTGTAAATTCCCAAAAAGGAGCACATGCTTTAAAACCAACTTTACACAAAACGGTAGCGCCTGGTGTTCCGAGCAGAGAAAAGATCTATTTTAGACAAAGAGAATTGTGTAAGCAGTGTAATTTTTATGGCGCCCAAAAGCTTTAAAAATATATAAAATGATACAAATTCAAGCTTCATATGGTGTCAAGAGATTATGAAAGTTGCATTCATGAAAAACCAGCCACAATGAAGAGTTGTAAAACTCAAGCCAAGTTAAGCACTTTGACACCCTGCTGGTTTTCAAAGGGTGCTGAAACCTGCATTTCTAGTGGTGTCCAAATACTCAACTTGGAGATTTACACATAAATAGAACACAGAATAATAGAGTTTGGAAGGGACCTTGGAGTCTAGTCCAATCCCCTGCTATCCTATACCATTTCAAATAAATGACTGTCCACTCTCTTCTTGAAAGCCTCCAGTGGTGGGACTACCACAACCTCTGAAGGCAAGCCATTCCATTAGTTCATTGTTGTTACTGTTAGGAAATTTCACTTAATTCCATGTTGCTTCTCTCCTTGGTTAGTTTCCATCCATTGTTTCTTGTCTTAAGTCTTCAGGTGCTTTGTAAAATAGTTTGACCTCCGCATCTTTGTAGGAGCCCCTCAAATATTGGAACACTGCTATCATGTCACCCCTAGTCCTTCTTTTCTAGTACCCAATTCCTGCAACCGTTCTTCATATGTTTTATCTTCCAGTCCCCTGATACCCAATTCCTGCAACCATTCTTCATATGTTTTATCTTCCAGTCCCCTGATCGTCTTTGTTGTTCTTCTCTGCACTCTTTCCAGAGTCTCAACATCTTTTTTATATTGTGGTGACCAGAACTGAATGCAGTATTCTAAGTGTGGTCTTACTAAGGCTTTGTAAAGCCTTAAGAGATTATTTGATCACCAGATACTATTAAACAGTATCTGTAGTCAAATCAAATTGGAAATTGTTGAATCAAATGTCTCCAAATCGGGACCAGATCTAGATCTAAAAGACCACTTCTACTAATAAATGTAACTCAGTTTTCTGAACTGGAAACCTGAACCAAACCGAAGATTTGAGTCCAATTGTAGCTGATTCAGCCTTAATGCTTAGACATTTTCTTAAAAGTATTCAAAGTGCTTCATGTCCCATGTAATTCTCTAAATACTCATATGGAAATAAGTCTAGTTAATAAGACTTTCTCCCAAGTAAGTATATATAGGATTATAACCTTTAGCTGAATGATGTACTGTAAAATTATTCTAATAATCCCTGATAGATATTGACGACATTGTCCCAAAGCTGTATTTCAGAGGAATTTAACTGAAATTACTGAAGAAACCTCTAAAGTATGAAAGCTTTGGCCATCAATTCCCCTGAGAATCGCAGATTAGCTGTCTGAAAAAAAAGTGCATGTTCCATACTACCACTCAACTGTATTTTTCACATTTTCAGAAGGAAAAAAAAACCTTTTGTCTGGTACCCACCAGAACATTTTCTTCCAAGTTGGATCTGCTCTCCATCTTGGACCTGCATGTCCTCAAATTTCTAGCCTACAGTTGGAGTTACAAATCCCCAACTTGGTAACCTTCTCCAAAGCTCTTGGAAATGCTAGATCAGTAAGACCTGAAGGAGCACAGAATCGGAACCCGTTTATGTTACAACAGACTGGGTGGGATGACACTCAAGCTTCCATACCTGAAGGCCTTCCAGTTTTTATGGGCAGTTCAGCTTTCAGAGAAGCAGTAAATATGAGATGAAACAAGCCACTGGAGGCATCATTCATGGCTTAGGTGTTCCAAGTTCCAAAGGCTTGTGGACCTTTTTTCAGGTGGAGCTAATGTCCAGTAAGTCTAAATGCTCCAATTATCCACAGAACAAAAGTAGGCCATACATACATAAGGCATCCCGTTTTGTTTTCTTCTTTCAAATGGGTCCTGTCAATGCATTTGAATGTTTCAATGCATCCAATTCTTCCTTCGTATTTAGGGAAACTAAAGGTTGTTTGAAATGCTACCGCAGGGAGGGAGGGAAATAGAACGCATTTTAGATCAATGTGTGACTATTTTTTTTTCTTTTGAGAAATATATTTCACTATATTTGGCCATGTCCATCAACAGATGTGATTTTGCACAACCGCTTCCTGCAACGTCAGCTATGCTGTAGGACAACAGATTCCCTTGTCCAAACCTCTATAAATAACAAGACCAATATTGCAAAAAGCCTAAAATGTAGAAATGACATCAGAATACAGTGAATGAAAAGAATAGCATTTGTTTTTTGTTTTGTTTTTTATAAATCCACTTAGGTAAAGATTTTTCAATCTGACGAGAGTCCTTCGGAAGCAAAGCCAGTGTCCTCTCCAGATCTCGTAGCTTCTCAAATGGATTCATTGGATCTGGCCTCCAAGAGGAGAACTCCCATCTTCTCTATCCATGAGGTCCAACCAAAGGATTAAGGAAGAGCAGGAATCCTTCATCCCCGCCCGTCCACACAACTCCGCAAACACGGCTTCCGTGTTTAAAAAAAAAACAAAAAACCTCACAAACAATATACTTCAATTTGTCAACATGCACAACATTCCCTGAACGCGTTTTTTTTTTTTTCAATATCAACATCGTCTCGCAGGTCTTCCCGTCTCCCCATCCTTCAGATATAATTATTTGGCATCGTGGGACTTCCCCCCCCCACCCCAGGCACTGATCGACATTTGGAATGTAACATTTTAACTTCAAAATAGTGTAAAGAAAAAGGAAATCAGGAAATAAAGACAGTAGTCCTGATCGGGATGCCACTAACAGGAAGTCGGTGTTGCACGCCCTGGTCTTCACCCATCAGCATGCAGAAGGCTGGAGGTGAATGTATCTCCTTCCAACAAAACCATGTTGAAAAACAATTCGCAAAACTTAAGAGCAGGAGGCCATCTGGCATTTTAACCAAAGACAAAGAGAGCGGCTTTACATTCTAGATGTGTCCAAGGTTTTCTAAAGCCTCAGAGATCCTTTCCTTTCCCTTTACAATCATGGTACAAAGAATGAAGATCGATTGGTCTTCCCAGGTAGTTTTTATCTTGGGAAATAGAAGCCAGACTTCACTGCATCGATATCAGAAATCAGCATCTTAGCCAGGTAAATCCCAAAAATCTAATGAAAAAGAGGGGAAGGGGAGAGAGAGAGAGAGAGATGGAGTAATCCAATTTAGAATAGATAACTGATTTTACAGTTTCCCCAAATAACAACAGAAAGCAATATTATCTCGTTGGCTCTTTTGTGTTCACAAAGGCACAAATGATCCTACTTTGGAGACATTAGGCAAACACCTAGTTTTCTGGAGAAGACTCTGATGCTTGGTGGGGGGAGGAGGAGAAGGAGGAAGAGGAAGAGGAGAAGAAGAAGAGGAGGGGGAGGGGGAGGGGAGGGGGAGAAGAAGGAGGAGGAGGAGGAGGAGGAGAAGGAGAAGAAGAAGAAGAAGAAGAAGAAGAAGAAGAAGAAGAAGAAGAAGAAGAAGAAGAAGAAGAAGAAGAAGAAGAAGAAGAAGAAGAAGAAGAAGAAGAAGAAGAAGAAGAAGACGAAGACGAAGAAGAAGAAGAAGAAGAAGAAGAAGAAGAAGAAGAAGAAGAAGAAGAAGAAGAAGAAGAAGAAGAAGAAGAAGAAGAAGAAGGGGAAGGGGAGAGTGAGGGGAGGGGGAGGGGAGGGGGAGAAGAAGGAGGAGAAGGAGAAGAAGAGGAGGAGGAGGATAAAGCTCAGCTTTATTTCACCCTTGAATGAAATAATTAAATGCTCTAACTTGGTGTCCCCCTGTAAGAAAGACACAATCGTAGCGGTGCTCAAAATATCAGGCTTCAGACTATGTTCTGGGCAAAACTTCACACCAGGTCCTCTTTCCAAAGCCTCTTTTACACTCAAAATAATGTTAGAAAATCCCCCACACACACACACACACACAAAACCCATTTGGCCTACAAAACAGGACGCGTTGTGAAGTTTTCAGCTCAAACTCGTTTGGAATGAAATGTTTTTCAGACAAGCTCTGGTGGATGAGGGGGAACAAGGCTCAACCCTCAGCAAGTTGGGAAACGCACACGCGTCAATATGTAGTCTGCAGCCACTGACCTGCAACAGTGAAATCGCAACGAAGACGCCTGCAACGATATAAATATTTCTGGGCAGCCAGGTTTCCAAGGCAGCGATGCAGCCCTTCGTGAAGATTCGCTCCTCCCAATGCGATAAAGACTACAAGAAGAAATGGAGAGGGTGAGGGAGAGGACCCAGAGGAAGATTAGTACATGGATGGAGACCCACAGCTGAAAGCCAGCTGGATCCTTACGAGGGCATCCAAAGCGCTAAACAAAAGTGGTGATTTGCCCCAGTTCTGATCATCACAAGGCTCAAGGAACCAATTTGTTAAAACACTACAGGTTTCTGATGCTGCTTCATTTCACCAGTTGTACAAATAGACAGCACACCACACCAGCATGGATGTAAGAAGTCTTCCATACTTTAAGTCTGTGCTGAACCCAAATGACCAAAAGATCTACCCATTAGCCAAGATGCTGGTGATTTGGGAAATAGAACTAGAAATTGAAATCAACTCCTTTCCTACATGGGGATTAACATGTTTCATCAGCCAATCATTTGCCTCCTTCTTCTTCTTCTTCTTCTTCTTCTTCTTCTTCTTCTTCTTCTTCTTCTTCTTCCTTCTTCTTCCTTCTTCTTCCTTCTTTTCCTTCTTCCTCTTTCTTCTTCTTCTTCTTCTTCTTCTTCTTCTTCTTCTTCTTCTTCTTCTTCTTCTTCTTCTTCTTCTTCTTCTTCTTCTTCTTCTTCTTCTTCTTCTTCTTCTTTCCAAGAGCTCCTATCTTCCACAGAACACTGGGCTGGTAAAAGGATGTGAGAAATGAGGAAATGAAGAATGAGGAAATACTCACCATATTTCTGATGTCGTAGCCACACTGGGTATTCACCACATTTTGCTGAAGAGAGAGAAGAAAAGGACTTGACATAACTTTTTACAACACTTCAGAGGAGAGATTTATTTTGCCTTCCCACCAAGGGTTCTCAACGGTGCTGTTTTTGCTCCAATTTTCCAACATAGCAATAATAGCCATAGCACTTAGACTTATATACCGCTTCACCGTGCTTTACAGCCCTCTCTAAGCAGTTTTACAGAGTCAGCCTATTTGCCCCCAAGAATCTGGGTCCTCATTTGACTGACCTCGGAAGGATGGAAGGCTGAGTCAACAGCAATAGCACTTAAGACTTAAGTAGTGGAATTTTGCTTGCCTTCAGAAGTTGTGGGTGCAAAGAAATTGAAATAATATAGGCTTTCCTGCCGGAGCAGGGGGTTGGACTAGAAGACCTCCAAGGTCCCTTCCAACTCTTATTATTATTCTGTTATTCTGTTAAAAGATAGTACCTCCATTTATTGCTGACTAGAAATCCCTTATGAACTTTTTCCATGAAATATTAACAGGAAAAAAATGAACTCCTGATTTATAGTTTTTATGATCCGACAGCACAGATGATAGAAAAAGGAATTATTTTGTGTAACCGTTGAGTAAATTTATAATCGTTATTTATAACTGCTATAAACAAGATTGGGAACTATGCATTTTTCTATTTTTTTCCCCCTTTCTTTTCTATTTCTCTTTTACTTTCTTCCCTTTTTTTTGCATTTTCTGTTTCTTTTCTTTCGCTTACGTTAGTTTGTATTAGTTTTTATCTTGGTTTTTTAAAAAAATAATAAGAGATTTTAAAAAATGCACAGAATCTTAACATTCTTTGGGGGGAGGGGACGGGCAAATGCTCAAGACGTAAAAGATAGGCCTCGTCCTTCGAAGCATAGGAAACACTTCCCTGCACCCCAAACCTGCCATAAATGTAGGGACAGAAAAACAGAACAGAATAATACTAGAGTTGAAAGGGACCTTGGAGGTCATCTAGTCCAACCCCCTGCTCAGGCAGGAGATCCTATACCATTTCGGGCAAATGGCTGTCTGGTCTCTTCTTAAAAACCTCCAGTGTTGGAGCATTCACAACTTCTGGAGGCAGGTTGTTCCACTGGTTAATTGTTCTCACTGTCAGAAAATGACTCCTTAGTTCCTGGTTGCTTCTCTCCTTGATGAGTTTCCATCCGTTGCTTCTTGTCCTGCCTTCAGGCGCTTTGGAGGATAGACTGGGACAAGAAGATGGCAAGTAGCTCACCGCAGGATCTTGGATGCAACAGGAGAACGGGACTCCGCATCTTTCCCGACTTTTGCTCACACTGCTACAGTTGAAATAAATGTTGAGGTTCCAATCGTTTGGACCCTGAGCACCGCAACACTGGTTCTGCAGGAGAGAAAACAAAAGAAGGAAAAGGCATTGGAGCATCCGATGGGCACAACAAGCGCGGAGAGAGGCCAGGAAGAAGCTAAGCGACATCAGACAGCTTTAAAATTGCGGTTCATTCCAGAGCAGAAGCCTAGATTAAAAAAAATTAACACAGCGTCGTAGGAAAAGTAATGAATCAGAATACAGCTGGAAGGGACCTTGGAGGTCTTCTAGTCCAGCCCCCTCCTCAAGCAGGAGAATTTATACCATCTCAGACAGGTGAATGTCCAATCTCTTCTTAAAAACCTCCAGTGATGGAGCGCCCACAACTTCTGAAGGCAAAGAGTTTAACTGGTTAATTATCCTCGCTGTTAGGAAGTTTCTCCTTAATTCCACGTTGCTTCTCTCCTAGACTAAAAATGAAAGTTTTTAAGAAGAGACTGGACAACCATTTGTCTGAAATGGTATAGGGTTTTCTCCCTGAGCAGGGGGTTGGTCTAGAAGACCTCCAAAGTCCCTTCCAACTCTATTCTATTCTATTCTATTCTACATTCTACATTCTATTCTATTCTGCATTCTATATTCTATATTTTATTCTGCATTCTATATTCTATTTTGCATTCTATATTCTATTCTATTCTATCTATTCTATTCTATTCTGCATTCTATATTCTATTCTATTCTGCATTCTATATTCTATATTCTATTCTGCATTCTATATTCTATTCTATTCTATTCTATTCTATTCCATTCTATTCTATGCATTCTATGTTCTATATTCTATTCCATTCTATTCTGCATTATATATTCTATATTCTATACTATTCTATTCTCCATTCTATATTCTATATTCTATATTCTATTCTATTCTGCATTCTATATTCTATTCTATTCTATTCTATTCTATTCTATTCTATTCCTATTCTATTCTCAGTTAAAACAGCACTGGAAAAATGGTTAAGAGAACTAAAATGTGGCTATTTAATCTTTTGTTATCTCACTGTCTACTGGCGGGTTGCTACGGAAAACACAAATCAGCCCTAACAGAGATCTGAAGAGATAGCCTGCAAGGGCTTTGGAAATTATGCTAAAGGTCATGTGAAATTAAACAGGAATCTCCAAGCTGCCCACCTCTGTGTTAGGAAGAAGAAAAGAGATTTGGAAAGGCAACTCAGCGGGAGAAAAAAAACTTGCACAAATGTGCTTCCCCCCTCTGTGGTCTTCTGACATTTGCTCATGTCACCTCCGCTGCCGTTTTCTCCTTGATCCAGGGCTTCCTTCCTGCCTTAGAGATGTGGCCTTTCTTCTAAGCAACGTGGAAAAATCAACAGGAAAACCATTTGGAACAGTGGTTCTCAACCTGTGGGTCAGGACCCCATTTGGGGTCGAATGACCATTTCACGGGGGTCGCCCAACAAGGCTGTCCGCCATTTTTTCCCCCTTTTCTTTGGCCACGCCCCTGGCACCCAGTGATGTATAAGTGGTTGGGCGGTCACCACAACATGGGGACCTGTATTATGGGGTCGCGGCATTAAAAAGGTTGAGAACCACTGATTTGGAACCTCCTTTCTGCATACGGGGACAGCTGCACATGCCAAATATTGGAAAGAAGAAGAAGAAGAAGAAGGAAGAATGGCGGCGTAAGGAGGCATACTGAAACTGAATGAGTTAGCAGAGATTGTGAAATTAATCGTGTCGACTTGAGACAAGGGTTTGGACAAGTTCATAAGAGATGGGAAGGTGTTTGTGGCGTTTCCGGGAGTTAAATGTAATAATGGACTGTCAACAGAGGACTTTGAAGTTTATTTTTAGGGCAGTGATTCTCAACCTTTTTAATGCCGCGACTCCCCCCAACCGGTCGTAAGTTGAGGACTACTCAACCGGTCGTAAGTCGAGGACTACTCAACTGGTGCAGCACCGTTTGCAGAATGGGACTTTTGGCGGGCTCAGCAGGGCAGAGACAGCCTGGACAATTCCTATTGACTTTTGAAAGCCAATAGAATTAGACTCTGTTCAAGAGAGTCTATTCTATTGGCTTTCAAAAGCCAATAGAATAAAAGGGAGTAGCACAGCTAAGGAAAAGGGGGAAAAATGGCAGATTGCGTTGTTTGGCGACCCCCGTGAAATGGTCATTCGACCCCAAATGGGGTCCCGACCCATAGGTTGAGAACCGCTGTTTTAGGGGTTAATAGTTACGGCTTTCTTACCCTGAACAGATATTGGATTGAGTTTATGGACAGACCATAGATTTATATATTAGGGATATCTGTTAAGAAACGTAAAATAGTGATTTAGCAAGCGTAGGTAGAAAATGCATAACTATTTGTAGACCCTTAATGCAAAAGGTGGGGGGAGGGCAGGCCTATTAGATTTCAGACACAGGTATCAGCATTCAACCAGGATGGAGGATAAATGCTTACTGTTAATTTTATATTTGTAATATACATTATTTTTGTGACTTGTTTGTAATCATTTTTTTAAAAAAATTGTATTTTTACCTTTGGGGGGGAAAGGAAGGATGGAAGGATGGAAGGAAGGAAAGAGGGAGAAAGAGAGAGAGAGAGAAAGAAAGAAAGAAAGAACAAAACAAGGAAGGAAGGAAGGAAGGAAGGAAGGAAGGAAGGAAGGAAAGAAAGAACAAAACAAGGAAGGAAGGAAGGAACAAAATAAGGAAGAAAGGAAGGAGGAAAGAAAGAAAGAAAGAAAGAAAGAAAGAAAGAAAGAAAGAAAGAAAGAAAGAAAGAAAGAAAGAAACCCAACAACTCACCAGTTTTTGCAATGAATCAATCAGGTTCTGCAAATCAATGTCATCTCTGTAGGCCTTAATGTTGTTTTTGAAGAAAGTCTCCACTCGGTCTTTCACCCAGTCCTGGAACAAGAACGCCAGCACAGCCAAGGCCAACTCTAGGATGAAAATGAGCACGATGGTCCCACAGAACTACAGCAAAGAGAGAAGAGAAGGAGACAAGCCACTTTAGGAAGGGGAAGAACGCTTCCATCCAAAACAGAAGAAAGCCAGTCGAGGGGTCCTTGGTGCTCTCTTGAGCCTGGCATCTAACGTGATCTTGATTCCATCCCTCTGTTAATGCAGCCTGGTACTGTGTTGGCTTTTTTGGCAGCTGCAGCACACGGCTGGCTCCTATTTAAATGATTGTCCACTGGGATAGGACAGTCCAGTTCTGTCAAAATGGTTCTGCCCCCTCCCCCCCAACACAAACACATCAGAATTCAGCAACTTACAAATTTCAAAAGGCAAATATTTTCCCGCAGGGCTCCCACGCAGCCAGCAAACCCCAGCACGAACATCACCCCTCCGACGAACAAGATAAGGAACACGGGATCAAAACCATGCAGGCGAGTCATCTTGGATAGATCAAACAGCACGCCCTAAAAGGGAACACAAATGAACGAGGATGAAGTCCTGCTGAACTTTCACGTGGGACCTACAAGGCAGACATTCCCAACGACAATCCAAAGTGTCGCGAGCGTGCTAGGGTTCCACAAAAGTACAGAAAAATGTTTAGCCTTTGACTACAAGTGCAAAATCCTATTTTCTGAGACCCTCACTTCATTTAATCTCTTTAAAATAAGTTTATGGGGATATAGCAGAGGATGCAAAATAATTCTATTGGGGGGGGGGGAAGATGGCAGGAAGAGTGGCCAAAGATTGTATGGTTGAATAAATGAATGAATGAATGAATGAATTACTCCACCAACAATCCCAGGAATTGTCCCCTTCAAAATAATAATCAATATCTTTGTAACATGTATCAGCTTTCTATAATCTTAACAGTCTGCAGATATGTTATACTGCAAAGTCAGAATTCACAATAGCTAGGAAACAGCTTGTTGAGAATTTGGTTCATTGGGAATAAAAAAAAAATGGTGGATTCAGTCTAGGAAGGTGGTAGATGACCCTTCCGCAGAGAAGTATTTGAATTCCAAAATACTGAACTACTGGGCTAAAAAAATAAAATCTACAAAAGGATATTTGTTATACAGTCTTTCATTCTGACCTTAAGTCAAGCTCAGAAAAGGAATTTTCCTTCCTTCCTTTCTTCCTTCCTTCCTCCCTCCCTCCCTCCCCTTCCTCCTCCATCCATCTTTTTACAAACAACATTTGTCAACAAATGAGCATTGCAAATCCAGGGAAGCTTTTCCCCTTCCAGGGCTGCATTAGGGGTATGACAGAATTCTTATTACACTAAAAGGTTTGTTTTTAATTTATTAATCAAATTTGCATAGCCATCCATCTCAGCCAAAGCAGCTCTGGGCTTACAGAAGCTCATTTTAATGCTGGATTGTGAATGCATCCAATTCTGTAACGGACAAATAGAAGAACTTGGAATAAGACTACTCAAAATGAAGTAAGTGTTAAAGCGAGATTTTTAAACAGGCAAATGGATTTTCAGAATAAAGGAGGAGAGGAAAAAAAACACGTTGCTTGCCTTGCCACAGGCTGTTCCCAAAAGGAATGTGTTTTTGCATTTCCCTTAGGCCAGGGGACAGATCTTATTTACTTCAATATTTTAAATCTTTGGTCCAAATAAAATGTGACTTAATATTTACTTCGGATTTTGAAGGGGGGGGGCTTCTAACAGATAATAGTTATCTCCGTGCACCCAAAAAGCACAGTGCAATAATTCTATTGCCACTGAGGTTCCACTTTCAGTCACTTTCCAAAAAAAGGCACAAAAGTGGGCCATTTCTCACATATAATTCTCCAATTCTGCACAATGGATGTTTTGCAAGAAACAAATTTACTGGAAATCACAACATTGTTCAAGTAATAAATCCAGAGTTTCAGCTTTTTGATCAGTGTGTCTTTGATGTGATGGCCAAATGTGGCTCTTTTAGGCTCATGCCTCTGCATGCATATTTTCCAATGAGACAAACCGAGACAGGAAAATCATTTTATTACAGTTTATCAGAATATTCAGACAAAAGGGATTCCACTCGTTCAAAGAGGGAACCCCGATCTTTAGCTTACAACACCTTTTATAGTTAGCATCACAAAGAAACATCCAAGAGGAAAATTGATTGGATAGGATAACAGTCACCTCCCCTTTGCATAGGAAATCAATTGCATGTGGTCAAGCATGTTACATATTTGCATCCCACAATATCACACATAGGTATTTAAGGTTTCTAATTTAGCAGAAATGGCTAAAATTTCTGCTTATTTAAAGGATCATTCACAAGAGAGAGATGTTATTGTATGGAGAAGATGGATAGAATATGTTCAGAAGAAATATGGAACTACAAAGTTTCATTTATTTTATGAGTAATGGATTTGTTTATAAAATTATGATGTTAAAGTTTGAAGAGAGTTAAGGGTTAGTATGATTTTGGTTATTGTATAATTAGTAAACTTAGTAAACTTAGATTATGTTTAATATGTTTGTATAACCCTGTACTTGGCTCTGGGAAGTGGGTTGGGGGTTAAATAGGTCAGATAAGTAGAAATAGTTTTATTGTATATAATATTGATGTTTCAATTTGGAGAGAGGAATTGCTCAGGCATTTCTCCTGGACTGTATCCGGAGTGAGAAGATAGGAGGAAGGGGAGAAGTAAGTAGGAAGGTTGAGGAGAAGGAGGAGAGGGGGAGAATGAGGAAGAAGAGGGAAAGAGGGAAGTGAGAGAAGAGGTTAGAGGGTGGATGCGGTTTGGGGGGAAATGGGTGAGCAATACCGAAAGTTGTGTGTATAAACTTATTCTATTCTTTATCTGAAGTACTCTTTATGAATGTAATGAAAAATTGAAAATAAAAAAAAATTACAATTAAAAAAAAATATCACACGTTTATTAAAACGAGGTCTGACGTCAGGAGAGGTGTACATTGTAAGGAAAAGGATTGTTTAGAGTTCACGAAAGAGATAAACCAGACCCCAATTTGTACTAACAAACTTGGTCTTATCTTCAGATCATCTCCAGCCTGTTTATCTCTTCAATTTAGGCATGCTAAAAGCTATTCCTAAATCCCTGTCTGTATTGTACTTGAACAATCAATCTGAAGATTGATCTTTTCAATTTAGGAACGTTAAAAGCCATTCCTAAATTCCTTGAATATTCTTTTGAGACAGAGAAAATAAGTCAAATGGAAACGCTAAAATAACTGTCTTAAGATATAAAGTTCATATTCGAAGTGTCTATGTTAACTGACAATTACAAAACTCATGCCTGTCGTTTGTCCCTCAGATGACAAACCAGGTTTATCGCTGGCCAAGAATCCTCAGCAAGCCAGCCCATCTGAGAAGGAGGAACTATAAGACGCCTCCACTAGATGGAACAAACGAGCTGAAGATGGTCCGGGCGTGTTTTTATTGCTGTTTGGAGCAGAGTTTACTAGTGTTTCTGTAGCAGTTTCCTGCTTCCGGGACAACAAAGCCAAAATAGCAGTTCATCTGATGGCTGTTTATTAACTAGCACTTATCCGCAAAGAAGCCATCAATTCTCCAGAGTTGCTTGTTGTTTTTTAGACACCTGGGCATTCAGCGTAAAAACAATCATAAAACACTCCGGGTTAGAATGAGCTGTTTTAAGCTGGGGAAACAACAGCAGAAAGAAAGGATGGGGAAGAGAGCAGAATGTCAGCGGAAATGGCTGACCTGACCCCTTGGATCTGGGAGGGAACACGACTGCCTTTTATAAAGGGCTGGAAACCCTTTATGGAGGTTTTTGTTGTTGTTCTTGTTGAAAATGGAGACAAATCCATTTCCGGATTTGCTGGTTAATAAGGGTTAAAAATGAGAAGAAGGGAACCAGGTTATGTTCTTTAGAAGTGGAGAAAGAGTTTGCAACATTAGTTTGTGGAGAAATGTTTTGGGGGAATAAAACTGCCGGAAAGAAGATAAGAAGTCACTTTTTAAAGCTTCTTTTCTTTCTCTTCATTTTCTATTGTTTTCAACTCTTTCTTTCCTTTCTTCTTCCCTTTCTCTCTCTCCTTTCTTCCTCTCTCCCTCCCTTTCTCTCTCTCCTTTCTTCCTCTCTCCCTCCCTTTCTCTCTTTCCCTCTCTCCCTCCCTCCCTCCCTCTCTCCCTCTCTCCCTTCCTCTCTCCTTTCTTCCTTCCTCCCCTCCCTCCCTCTCCTTCCTTCCTTTTTTCCCTTTTCTATACTGTTTTGTGTTGATCTTTTAACCTTGTGTGTTCATGGATCTGTGTGTTTGTGTGTGTGTGTGTGTGTGTGTAAAAGAATAAGCTGTCTGAGCACACTGTTCAGTGCAAAAATTACTTGGTGCAGTAAACCACCTAGACAGACCAAAATAGACAACCTATCTTCAGCCCGAACACACCCAATGAATGGAGACCGCCACCTGAGAAGCTTTTGGTAACACCCAAGTGGAGTCACCTTCTTCTGGGTGTCCTTTTAAGTGTTTGAAGACCATGATTACGTTCCTCCTTAAGTCTTCTAAAGGCTAAACATTCCCAATTCTTGTGTATCTTTAGAGAAGTTGGTTTCTAGTCCTCTGAACACCCAAACTATACTCCGTTGTCTCTGAACGTTCACTAATTCCATTTTCACATCTCAGAAGTGCGACTAGACACCAAGATAATCTATATTGGCCTGTACGTCCTCCAAAGAAGATTCAGAAATTATTTATTTGCTTACTAACAACAATGAAAGGGAAAGATACCAGAATTTGTTCCACAGGACCAAAGATTCTCTGTTTTGTAGGAATGTTGGTCATGAAGGACATACCCTTGGCGACTGGTTGTTGCATTTTTTTGTTGTTGTTTGTTTAAATAATGGCACCAGCTATACAAATGGGGGGGGGGTGTTTAGCAAACCAAAAAGGAAATGGGAACAAATCATGAAGCAACAAAGCATCCACAACTCCAGGAGGCAAACTCTATGCTAGGCTTTCATTGCCTCTTTGATGAAGTGATTAAATTAATGGATCAGGGAAATACGGTGGATATAGTTTACTTGGAATTCAGTAAAGTAATGGCTCTTTGGCCTTCCAGAGATGCTGAAATACCTCTTTTTCAAGTAGACAATTTTGAAAATATTTTTTTAAAAAGCTGCCTTCGCTGCCTACGAAGTACTTCAGCCAAGGCACTTTAATTTGCTTTCTATTGGCCTCACATCACCTCACGATGGATATCATTTGTGAATGCAATGGTTAACCAAAGGACACAAATTGGCCAGAAAAACATACTTCTGAGTTTAATGGGCAATGAAGTAAGGAGTTGTATATTCAAAGAACGTGGGCCCGAAAACATGAGCCTAGTCATGGTTTAATGAAACCTACTCATAGGAAAACATGGTTAAAATCCTTACAAATAGGTACTCCTAAACTTAGAAGGGCTTCATTTTGAGGCATTTATAGGGTTATACCAGCGGTTCTCAACCTGTGGGTTGGGACCCCATTTGGGGTCGAACGACCATTTCACGGGGGTCGCCAAACAATGCAGTCCGCCATTTTTTTTCCCTTTTCCTTAGCTGTGCTACTCCCTTTTATTCGATTAGCTTTTGAAAGCCAATAGAATAGACTCTCTCGAATAGAGTCTAATTCTATTGGCTTTCAAAAGCCAATAGCAATTGTCCAGGCTGTCTCTGCCCTGCTGAGCCCGCCAAAAGTCCCATTCTGCAAACGGTGCTGCACCAGTTGAGTAGTCCTCGACTTACAACCGGTTGAGTAATCCTCGACTTACGACCGGTTGGGGGGAGTCGCAGCATTAAAAAGGTTGAGAACCACTGGGTTAGATTAATCTCTGCGTTCCTGAATAAAGAACTGATTTCACATCCATGAATAAAATCAGCATGGAGACAGACACATTATGTCATGTATTCCTTTATTTACCAGCCTTTCTAATCGAGCTCTCTAAAAATAGACATGTCGTATTTCTAGGAAAGAGACTAAATCCTATGAGGTCTAAAAGATCTTATTTTGCTTACCTTTTCACTCCATGCCCAAAGACCAGCTCCAAGGAATGCCACGCCAGCTAACTAAGAGAAAAAGAAAAACATAGATATTACTTTGTGCGCCCAATGCACAAGTCAGAACATGCATGTGTAAAAGCTTCTCCGTGTGATTTCTCTGTAAATGTTGTAGGTCTATGATGCATGTTGTTGGGAGGGGGGGGAAATAACATGCCTTAGCAAATTTGCACCAACGAAATCCACACTGAACATTGAGTTGTCTCATAAAGGGATAATACAATCACTGAATGCTAGATAACCTGGCTCAGATCTCTCAACAGTAGTGACAAATAACCGATATCCATTCTGGGGATTAGAACAAAAAGGACAGAAATGAAACTCACCACGTTATAAAGATTGTACAAAGCTTAGGATGTGGAATATTCTGGGCAACCAATCTCAGGAAGACTACTCAGCTGTATGAAAACGAGCAAGAGAAAGGAAGCAAGTAGCAGGGCTATATTACTATTATCTTTCTCTTTCCTATTGCCTTCACCGATTAGTATCATGGTTTTATCACTTCGTGGCTTGTATGTACACTGAGAGCTTATGCACTGGAGACAAATTCCTTGTGTATTTGTGGGAAGTCAGCCCCCCACCCCAGAGAAGGAAATATTAAAGAGGCAGAAAAGCATGCCCAGTTTTTTCTTAATAGCCCCAAGTCTCCCTCCCCCAGGCACAAACCAGCTCTGTAGAAATGCAGATGTAAATAACCCAGGAAAGTTGGAGGCCCCCAGCTAGAAGCTTAGTAAGTAAGACAAAGACCTAAAATCTACACACCCCACCCAAACTCTAAGTTTCACTCACAGATGCCAAAGGACACACTCAGACTCAAGTCAAAGGTCATGCCACAGGAACAACTCCAAACAAAAGGCTCCAGAGGGTATAAAAACCCACTCTCTACATGTGCTCTCTCTCTTTTCTTCCAGAGCCATCTTTCTGTCTGGCTCTCCTCTCCAATAACCTGCAACCTTCTTTCTAAAGCAGTTGCCATGTTGTTTATTCCCGGCTTGGACTGAACCATGATGAAGACTTTTCCTTCAACAGTCCAGTCACATTTGGCCAATAAAGAATATTCTAATTCTAGCCAAAGGAGTGAAGCTTGCTAATTGCAAATATGTGGGTAGGAAGGAAGGTTTCCTGTGTCGAGTGGGAGTCAGGCAAGGAAATGGTGACATTAAAAAAAGAAACATTAGATTATCTAAAAAAACGAAGAAGAACAAGGACTCCATCTGGTCGTTGAAGGCGCAGGAAGAGAGGGAAGTCTCGGGGACCAGACAACAGATCCTACTGAGTCAATTCTTCTGCTATTTTTTTTTAAACAAATGCCATTTTCACTTTCCAAAGACCAGGAAGACAGCTGAGCTAGCAAGTTAATGTGGCCTCCCTCAGCCCTCTTATCTGCTGCTGACTCCACAAGACTATTGGGAAAGAGAAACTCTGCAAGCAAAGATATCAGCATGGCTTGTCCAAGCCTACATCTGCTCAAGCTGCCTGCATGCAGGCCGAAGATTTAATCTTCAGCTACAATTCTCTGGAGCTATAAAGTGGGGGAAAAGATAAGACAGAAGTCTAGGGGGTGTGCAGAAACAATTGAAAGCATTCGGACGCCATCTCAACATTCCCAAAGTTTTCTGAGACCCAAACGACTCTTTCAACTTCAAAAAAAAAAAAAAAAAAAAATGATTCCTTGAGCAAAAACAAGAGTTTCCCAAGTTAAGAATGTTTCTAGAAGGGTTGGGATACTTCATGCAAGATGAAGGAACTGATTCAAGCTCAAATACTACAAAGTCAAAACGTCATGGCAATCCCAACATATGTATAAATTGTTGTTGTTGTTTCTCCAGTAATCACTTTTCTTGAAGGGTGATGGAAGGGGGGAACATATTAATACCCAATGTGAAGAGAGAACTGTGAGTAGCTGATGGCAAAATGGTGTGGACCTGTCAAAGAAGTAATCTATACTTTTACAAAATAATAAAATAAAATAAAATAAAATAAAATAATAAAATAATAAAATAAAATAAAATAAAATATAAAAAGTAAATAAAATAAAAAATAAAATAAATAAAATATAAAAAGTAAATAAAATAAAATATAAAATAAAATAAAATATAAAAAGTAAATAAAATAAAATAACATATAAAATGAAATAAAATAAAATATAAAAAGTAAATAAAATAATATATAAAATAAAATAAAAGTAAATAAAATAAAATAAAACAATATAAAAAGTAAATAACATAATATATAAAATAAAATAAATAAAATAAAAAGTAAATAAAATAAAATATATAAAATAAAATAATATATAAAATAAAATGAAATAAAATAAAATATAAAAAGTAGATAAAATAATATATAAAATAAAATAAAAGTAAATAAAATAAAATAAAACAATATAAAAAGTAAATAACATAATATATAAAATAAAATAAAATAAAAAGTAAATAAAATAAAATATATAAAATAAAATAATATATAAAATAAAATGAAATAAAATAAAATATAAAAAGTAGATAAAATAATATATAAAATAAAATAAAAGTAAATAAAATAAAATAAAACAATATAAAAAGTAAATAACATAATATATAAAATAAAATAAATAAAATATAAAAAGTAATTAAAATAAAATATATAAAATAAAATAATATATAAAATATAAAAAGTAAATAAAATAAAACAATATATATAATAAAATAAAATAAAATAAAAAATAAAATAATAAATAAAATAAAATAAATCCTTTGAATCCAAAATCTATTTGCTGAGGAGTGTGTTAAATTGGATCATTCTACCTCACATCTTTGTTTTCTGTAGAAGAGAAGTTTCTTATCTATTCTCCTTATAAGAGGAATAAATACTAGTCTATCAAAGGGAAAGCACCACAATAGAAAACAGCAAATGGGGGGGAGGAGAGAGAGGAGGAGGAGGAGGAGGAGGAGGAGGAGGAGGAGGAGGAGGAGGAGGAGGAGGAGGAATACAAACAGATGATGAGTAAATAGGTAGGCAGGTAAGTAGGTAGATAGACCTACTTTCAGATAGGACCGGGACCGCTTGTGTTAGAACCAATTTCCCCCACTAACCAAGAGTAGGCATTGAAATGCAGTACACCCTTTATTTTTCCATCACACTGGCGCATGCTCCGCCCTCTGTCTGTTCAAAGGAAGTTTATTTTGAGCTCAAAACAATCAGCACAGCAGGGCACCATTTCTGCTAATTCACTGTTGCGTAAAGCCAGAGAGGGAAACAGAATTTTTATGTGAGAAAATACTTAGGGGTAATTTCAAAGAGAGACAGAGAGAGGAATATTCAGACTCCGAGCTCAGGTCAGGGAAATCCAGGGGTTTAATGCACAGTGTTTAACTGTGGCTACTCCGGAATCAAATACCATGGCCCAGATGAAGACCTTCATAAATTAAATGCCATTTTTTTTTACGTTTCTATTGTGTTTCTATATAAGATAACAATGGATAGAAACTAACCAAGGAGAGAAGCTACCTAGAACTCAGGAGAAACGTCCTGACCGTTAGAACAATTAACTTGCCTTCAGAAGTTGTGGGTGCTCCATCACTGGAGACTTTGAAAAAGAGACAGGACAACCCTTTGTCTGAAATGTTCTAGGGCAGTGAGGGTGAACCTTTTAGAGACCGAATGCCCAAACTGCAACCCAAAGCCCACTTATTTATCACAAAGTGCCAGGGCCGCATCAGCATTGTCGTGCCCTCAGGGGGAGGGGGGGCAAGGAGGTGCCTCTGAGTGCCGCCTCTGGTACGGAAAAACCAGGGACGTAAAAATGTCCAAACACCCAACACAACAAAGCTCCTTTGAGTTGAGTTTCACTTCTGGCGGATTCAAACCCATCCATGCAGGATTCTTAGAACAATATGGAAGGGATTTCCTGTAGACCAATGGCAGAGCTCCAAATATCATCTTGAGGGCCTACTATCCAAACATCTAACTTTCTTGAGAAGTCTATAGTACTGGGAAAGATGGAAGGAAAGAGAAGATGACGGTAACCAACAGCAAGAGGGATGGACTCCATTACAGAAGTTGATAGATGCACCTTTGGAAGACTTGAAAGACCAGGTCCAGAACAGATCATCCTGGAGAAGATCCATCTGGGTGATCACTAGGAATGACCTGACTTGATAGAGCATAACCAACCAACCAATCAATCAAGTTATGGTGTGCCACCAAGTCTCAATCAATAAGAGTGTTTATAAATGTTGCACACAAGGAAAGAAACATTACCATCCTTCAATGGCTGGGTATTTTATTATTCAATGATTTCCTCTTAGCTACTGTGAGGGACACCAAAGAAAGCTCTGCTTTTAACAGCTCCTTCTTCCTTATTCTTCACTCACACAACTGTGACTTGTGCCACCTTCCTTCAGAAGCTGCGCCTCAGTGCTCTTGATGACACAACAGAAGAGACTTCAGTTCAGTCTGGAAAACACCAGACTTAGAGTGTCTCTTATTGCACAGACAAAGATGAAACTGTATCCTTCTGCCAATCAAAGGACAAAGCACAATGGCAATAGAACTTTGAGCTGTCTCTACGGAAATCAAGTAGCTATTCATACAGGCCAGACTGTCGCCCCTGGGAGATACCAGTAGATCTGCATGTTCACAAAAGTGGAAGCAAGCTGGAATTGCTCAAATGGGTGGATGAAGGGACAGGATGCAAATCCAATGGCTGCATCTTGTCCTTTCCAAGGACAGGTTCCACATTCAACTTGTCCTTTTATGTCCTCCCTACAAGGCTTGTAGAGTATCAAGAGAACAAGATCCATCCTTCGATTGCTTCATGGAATATATATATAAAAAACAGTAGAGCAGAAATTACCTTAGAGGTGGGGTTTTAACAATATATTTTGCATATATTATGTGAGGATTCTAGCTCTCTGGACAAGCCTCCAGTGCTGAGAAAGATGAAAGTAAGAAAGAAAATGATGTGTAGATGACCAGGCTGAGCCTGAGGGAGGGGTCAAATGTGTCATCAGTCTCAAATCTCTTTGTGCTCACAAGAGGTCTAAGTCCAGCCCATCTTGAATTCCATTGATTCTTGTCTACTGTCGGGCCCTGCGAGGCTATCGGAGCATGATAGAAACGCCCTCCGGTTTATGGATCTGTCCCAGTCTCCTGCAAGCACTTGTCTCCGTCTTGGTCAGCCGTCCTCAGAGTCCCAGGGGTGTTGCAGCCTTCTTATGACATCATCACTTGGTGCCTCCACAGCGGACGAAAGAGCTTCGGAGCCTCGCAGAGGCCCGACAATAGGCAAGCGCATGGCCAGATGATTGTCAGCAGGCGCATGGCCAGATGATTGTCAGGAGGAGTTAAGGGCGCAGGGGCATGTTATTTATGTTTTGTGGCCAGATGGTGGTTTACAGGGTGTTGGCTCGGTGGGGTTGGTTTCACTGGGGGCATGGCGGGCAGGTCCATTATGTAAAGACGCTGAGAACAGGCGGTTCCCAGTGCCAACTTTTCTCAAACTTCACTTCTTCAGTAAAGTTCGTTCATCGTTCCTGTTTGTGGTTTATTTCTTTGTTACGAAACACCAGGCTAGGATGGTGTAACAGTAAGTTGGCACTGGGAACTGCCTGTTCTCAGCGCCTTTACATAATGGACCTGCCTGCCACGCCCCCAGTGAAACCAGCCCCACCCAGCCAACACCCTGCAAACCACCATCCGGCCACAAAACATAAATAACACACCCCTGTGCCCTTAACTCCTCCCGACAACCATCTGGCCATGCGCCTGCCAACAATCATCTGGCCATGCGCCTGTTCACAGTCCTCAGTCTATTGTCGGGCCTCTGCGAGGCTCCGAAGCTCTTTCGTCCGCTGTGGAGGTGCCAAGTGATGACGTCATAAGAAGGCTGCAACACCCCCGGAACTCTGAGGACGGCCGACCAAGACGGAGACAAATGCTTGCCAGGAGACTGGGACAGGTGCATAAACCAGAGGGCGAAGAGGTGACCGGTGGGGTTTCTATCACGCTCCGATAGCCTTGCAGGGCCTGACATCTACTACCTATTTGCTTTGAGCATTAGGAATTCAGATTCTTGTAGAGAACTTTAGTTAGCAATAAACCTATATACAGTTTCATTTGAACTGCCACTTCCTGTGCTTGACATGATAACTGTCAGGGTGGGAGCTACATATATGTCAGGGCAAACCTCATTTCAGAAAGTAGAAGAACTAGACAGTTCAAAGGTTTATGGAGTTCTTTGATTTGCAGATGGAATGGAATGGAATGGAATGGAATGGAATAGAATAGAATAGAATAGAATAGAATAGAATAGAATAAACAGAGTTGGAAGGGACCTTGGAGGTCTTCTAGTCCAACCCCCTGCTCAAGCAGGAAACCCTATACCATTTCTGACAAATGGTTGTCCAGTCTCTTCTTAAAAGGTTCCAGTGTTTGAACATTCACAACTTCTGGAGGCAGGTTATTCCACTGGTTAATTGTTCTCACTGTCAGGAAATTCCTCCTTAGTTCTAGGTGGCTTCTCTCTTTGGTTCATTTCCATCCATTGCTTCTTCTCCTACCCTCAGGTGCTTTGGAGAATAGCTTGACTCCCTCTTCTTTGGGGCAGCCACTGAGATATTGGAACACTGCTATCATGTCCCCCCTCGTCCTTCTCTTCCTTAAACTAGACATACCCAATTCCAGCAGCCTTTCCTTATATGTTTTAGCTTCCAGTCTCCTAATCATCTTTGTTGCTCTTCTCTGCACTCTTTCTAGAGTCTCAACACCTACATCTACATCTACAGTTTAATCTTTGTCTGAGCAATTGCTTGTGGTGATAAATACACTTTGGGAAGACCTAAAGGAACAGATCAACGGGAGGTCTACCTACAGTATGTGATTGCTCAGCGGTGACACTGACTCGATGGCAATTGAACAATTCAATCAATCAATCCAATATTTCTCCCAGCTGGAAACCTGCCAGTCTGTTCTTAAGGGATCATAATTCAAAACTAATAAAGGGAATGGAGGACGTTTTTTAGCAAACTATCCTTCACCAAGTATTGGAGGTGCCTTGTCTGCTGGTTTCAAGCTTCATAAGGACTGAGTCAGCCAACAAAAAAAATCGGCAGAATATTCCCTTTAAGAATGATTATTTCCTTAGTGGAAGTCAGGAAAGAAGCTAGCTGAACTCATAACCCTGACAGAGAAACATGATTTAGTGGGACACGGGGTTCCTACATTGTGTGCAATGCTTCAGATGTGATTCCAAAAAAAATGTCTTTAGGGAAATGCAAGAGTTCACACTTAACACCTGTCTGCAACTTTTCTAAACAGCTTTATCTTTTCTTAGAAAATGCATATTACTCTTTGTCCTTGGCAGCCATTGTGTGATGATTAAAGGCCCGGAGACGAAAATATATCAAGAACGGTTGTAGGATTTGGGAATGGCCAGTCTAGAGGAAAGAAGGACCATGGGGGACATGATAGCAGTCTTCCAGTATTTGAGGAGCTGCCAATAAGAGGAGGGGGTCACATTATTCTCCAAAGCACCAGACAGCAAGACACGAAACAATGGATGGAAACTAATCAAGGAGAGAAGCAACCAGGAACTAAGGAGAAACTCCCTAACATGGAGGACAATTAACCAGTGGAACAGCTTGGCCTTCAGAAGTTGTGCGTGCTTCATCACTGGAGGTTTTTAAGACCAGACTGGACCGCCACTTGTCTGAAATGGTATAAGGTCTCCTGATTGATCAAAGAGTTGGACTAGAAGCCCTCCAAGGTCCCTTCCAGCTCTATTTTGATTCTGATCCTAAAATAGCTAAGGTTGCCCATTGTTAGCCAAGAAAGCATGCCACAAAGCAAACACTGAGACTGCCAGAATGAAATATGAGCTCCAGGACTGCACAATTCTACTGCCAGTAATATCAGATCTGGATTCGATCCGCAAAGTTCCACAAAGTGATGGCCATCTGGATGGAACGCCAGATGGAAAGCTATGTCCCCTACAGTTTCCTCCCCTCTCCGTCCTCCCAGCTGACAATGGAAGGGTGGGCTTTCTAAACTGCTTTTAAATCTATTTTAGGACAGCCGCTAGGATTTGCGAATTTCCTGATTCAAAATGAGGATCTTTCGCTGCTCATTTTCAACAATTACGCCAGCAAAATTCGAACGTACGGAAGAGGGAGGCTAACAAAAGCAAAAAGACATCTCCATTACGGGGCGCTCCTCTGCTTAGGACCCACGATGGAGCCCCCCCCAGTTTCCATGGTTAAAACAAGGCAGATGTTAAGTGAGCTTTGCACCATTCTACGACCTTTTCACCACACAGTTGTTAAGCGAATCACAGCCATCGTTAAGGGGATTGTGCGGTTGTTAAGCACATCTGGCTTCCAGCTGGTCAGAAGCTGGCTAAGAAGATTACAAAGTGTTGTTCACGCGATCCTGAGACAACGCAACTGTCACAAATGCATGCCAGTTGCCAACTTTTGATCACGTGACCCTGGGGAGGCTGGTGTGAAAATGATCACAAGTCCCTTTTTTTCAGTGCTGTTGTAACTTCAACCAGTCACTAAACACATGTTTGTGAGTCAAAAATTACCTATATGCCTTCCCAGGGCTACTGCCCTTAAGTTCATAGGTCTATTCTTGACAAACTTGAACAGCGGGCCCTATCCAAAAAAAGAGAGAAGGAGCAGGAGAGGAGGAGGAGAGAGAGAGAGAAAGGGAGAGAGGTAGAGAGAGAGAAGGAAGGAGCAGAAGAGGAGAGAAAGGGAGAGAGGGAGAGAGAGAGAAGGAAGGAGGAAGAGGAGAGAGAGGGAGAGAGAAGAAGCAGGAGAGGAGGAGGAGAGAGAGAAAGTGAGAGAGGGAGAGAGAGAGAAGGAAGGAGGAGGAGAGAGAGTGGGAGAGGGAGAAAGGAGGAGAGGACGAGGAGAGAGAGAGAAAGGGAGAGAGAAGGACAGAGGGAAAGAGAGAGAGGGAGGGATAAGAAGCAGGAGAGGAAGAGAGAGAGAGAAAGAGGGAAGGAGCAGGAGAGGAGGAAGAGAGAAAGGGAGAGCGGGAGAGAGAGAGGAAGAGGGAAGGAGCAGGAGAGGAGGAGGAGAGAGAGAAAGGGAGAGAGGGAGAGAGAGAGAAGGAAGAAGGAGCAGGAGAGGAGGAGGAGGTAGTGTGTGAGAGAGACAGAGACAGAGACAGACAGACAGACTGACAGACTTGGGACTTACCCAGAAGATGATGTTGTAGCTGAAGAGGAGATATTTATACCAACAGCTGATTTCAGCAGAAGCATATCGGTAGTAGTGCATCTTTTAGAGGGCAGCAACTGTGCAGAACCAGGGAGAGAGAATTGCCGGTTAGCAAGGGAGAAGTCACTGGATTCTGTTTATGTAGCTATCCAAGTAAGAGCAGCACGGTGGCCTAGCAGGGAAGACGCTCGCCTCCCACTTGGAAGGTTGAGAGTTCAATCCTAGGCAGCAACAGATATTTCTCTCCTAGCCTCAAGGAAATATATATATATATCTGCTGTGTACTCCACATAGGCATCAGGAAGGGCAGCCAGCCAGTAAATGCTCAGATCCGTATAGCTGCCTTGACTTTACCCTAGATTAAGAGATTACAGGAGTCATAAAAGGGAGTTTTGTGTAGCTATCCAAAAAAGGTTCAAATTAGTATATATTTCCTTGGGGAAAATATAATATTCTGCCTCTTTTTTAACACCCCCCAAAATATGTCCTTCTCTAGGAGGGTGGGTGGGACTGACTTTCTACAGTATCTTAGAAACCCTCAAGGCATTGCTGGAAGTAAAGTCTTCATCCTGGTTCATCCAAGCCGGGAATAAATAAGCAACATGGCGACTGCTTTGGGAAGAAGGTTACAGTTTATTGAAGAAGCAGAAAGATGGTTCTTGCAGGAAAGAGCAGAGGAGAGAAGGGCTGCGCACATGGGCAAGGGGTTTTTATACCCTCTCTAGCTTTTTGTTTGGAACAGTTTCCTCTTCCTGTGGCATGAACTTTGAGGCTATTTCCTGTGTCACGTATTCTGACCTGAACCTAGGTGTACCTCTCTGGTATACTTGATGGTAATAGGTTTGTCCTATTAGGTTACAAAAGTCATATCCTGCTTCTCTGGTGATGGGGCTAATGACTTAGAGCAGACATGTCAAACACAAGGCCCGGGGGCCGGATGCGGCCCGCAAAGTGGTTTCATGTGGCCCGCAAAGCCATCCTGGAAGCAGTGAGGGAACAGCCCCCACTGCCTTGGCCCTGGCCCAGGCCAGCCGGGAGCCAATGTACAATTTTGTGGTGGCCATCTATGCTGAAACGCATTCAGTCTTAGCTCCACAAGACCGTCTAGAAACAGCAAGGAACCAGCCCCTGCCGTGTCGGCCCCACCCCCCTGGGTGAATGCTGGGGAGGTGTCACCCTTTGTGAGGAATGAAGAAATGGACCATGCCTTGGCACTTGCCCCCGTCCCACCCCCTTCTGCCAGAGACCCTCAGATCTGTCCCACTCCTGCCCAGGCCCCCACAGGCACCCTTGATGCGAACAATATAGAGCTGGCCATGCCCACCCAGTAGGCCACACACCCCCTGACCACACCCACCCGCCGCCCCCCAAGGGCAGCCACAATGCTAATGCAGCCCTCAATGAAATTGAGTTTGACACCCCTGGCATAGACACATTGATGTAATTGTAGCACTGGTAGCACTGCATAAATGCTGGGCCACTGACGTCTTTTGGAATGTCTTCTTCTCATTCCAATCCAGCTTTTTGGCCCTGGATTTTCCTGGTATCCAACAACCCTTTTTGGGCCTCGCTTTGTTTTTGCATTTCAACCAAGCCATCCTGGAAACAGTGAGGGAACGGCCCCCGCTGCCTTTGCCCTGGCCCAGGCCAGCCGGGAGCTAATGTACAATTTTGTGGTGGCCATCTATGCTGAAACACATTCAGTCTTAGCTCCATAAGCCCCCGCCCTGCATGGCCTGAGAGGAACGGTGAGGCTCCTCCAGTGGACCGTGCCTTGGCACTTGCCCCGGTCCCACCCCCTTCTGCCAGAGACCCTCAGATCTGTCCCACTCCTGCCCAGGCCCCCACAGGCACCCTTGACGCGAACGATGTAGAGCTGGCCATACCCACCCAGTAGGCCACACCTACTCCATCCACACCCACCCAGTAGGCCACACCCACCCGGCCCCCTGAAGGCAACCACAATGCTGATGCGGCCCTCAATTAAATTGAGTTTGACACCCCTGACTTAGAGTTTGGGTGAGGTATGCAGATTTTAAGTCCCTTTGTCTTTATTTATTTATTTATTAATAAAATTTATATGCCGCCCAATCCCTAGGGACTCAGGGCGGCGTACAAAATTAAAACAATAAATATAACAATAAAATGAGTGCATTCATACATCATGCCCCAATCGTGTCTCGCCCCCCCCCCAGGGACATCAACCCCAGGCCTGCCGGAAGAGGAAAGTTTTAATGGCTTTCTTGAAGGCCGGCAAGATGGGAGTAGTTCGAATCTCGGGGGGAAGTTGATTCCACCACGTCGGAGCCACCACAGAAAAGGCCCTTCCCCGAGGGCCCGCCTGCCGACATTGTCTGGCCGACGGGACCTGAAGGAGGCCCAATCTGTGGGACCTCACCGGTCTCTGAGAACTATGCGGCAGTATGCGGTCCTGTAAGTAACCTGGTCCTAAGCCATGAAGGGCTTTAAAGGTGGCAACCAACACCTTGAATTGCATCCGGAGACCCACAGGAAGCCAGTGCAGCTCGCGGAGGATAGGTGACACGTGGGTGTACCTTGGTGCACCCACAATCACTCTCGCGGCTGCATTCTGAACCAACTGCAGCCTCCAAACGCTCTTCTGGACTTCCCTGGCTCCAGCTTTCCTGATGGTTTTACATCTGCATTTGTATAGGGCTGGCTCCTGCTTGGGGACAGAGAGATTTGAGGACAGGTTTCTGCTTTTCAAAAAAATGCTTTTAAAAATCCTTTTGAAGAAAAATATATTTTCCTGCCCTTTTAATATTTCCTTCTCTGTGGGGGGGGGGCTCTGACTTCCCACAGCATGTAGGATCAGCTTCAATACCAGGTCAGTCAGTTTGCAGTAGTAAAGTCACTTGCTCCTACTTAGCAATACAGGAGTGACATACATTGGTGAGCCAAGAAGGAAAAACAGAAAGGAGAATGAAGAAGGAGAATGCAGACTCTTTTTTCTTGCTTTCCTTCCATCTGTTTTGCAACCACGGCTGTTATTGCAAGTAGAGACAGCTCAGCAGAAAACATAAAACAAGAGTTTGCAATTTGCTTTGCCAACCCCGTTAAACTCCTATTTTCCTCACCCAGGCAGTGAGGAATTTTGCTGCTTGCAAGCTACAATGTGGAGTTTTGTTTTGTTTTTTTTTTAAAAAAAAAAACCCTCTTTTTCTATGCTGGAATTTGTGAAAAGGAATGCCCGACATCCTAAAATGAATTAGCAACGTCAGGAAAGAATAAAATATAGGGCAAACTATAAGTCTGATTATTAATCAACTGTAAAATAAATGTAATTAGCAATCCTGCCAAGTAATTATACATGGCTGTGCCCATGCAGAGGGGTTTTTCAGACACAAAGAGTTCATCATTCTGAGCACTTTAGAGAAATGTGTAAAAAAAACCTCAGTTGTGGTTCAAGCAGGCCAGCTAGAAACATTAAACGTTGTGAATTTGCGCCTTTAAACCAAATTAAAGCTAGCTCATTAATTTCCCCTCTTAATAAATTATCCATTTCAGCTCTTTTAGGCAACCATTGTGCTTGCAGAATGTATAATTAACAGATAGGTAAGATGCAGTCACCTGTCTCTCCTATCTCTTAAGGAAAATCTGCAGAGGTTCCTCATAATAAAACATTTTCACCAGAATTGACAATTTGCTAATTGAGAATCTGAGATTCAATAACGTCCCTGGGATTCGGAAGAGCAAAGACAGAACACATTTTAGAAGCTGCTGCTATCAGACCAAACTCAGCCTGTTGTTCCTGTTCCCTTCCTTCCTTCCCTTTAAAAGAAAATATTTTGCAATGGAGCAGTTGAGCAAGGGAAGACGGCGGCTAGATCTGGAAAGTCAGATGTGCAATAATCTGTGTCCAAAGATTCAGCTAAAGTCATTCTGCAAAGGCTCACATGAGACAAAAAGAGAACCATATTTTTTTTAAAGGGGTTAGAAATATTGTTGTTGTGTTTGTTTGTTTGTTTTAAAAAACTAAATGGTTACAGGCTGAGACACTATTCCCAGTTTAACTAAGAAGAATTCTCAGTGGGAAACAATTGGGACTGATCTTTAAAAAGGAAGTAAGGGAGGGTTTGGAGTGCCAGAGACAATATTCCCAAATCTTCAGAGGGAAATAAAAGATTCAGCTGGAGAGGTTTTTTTTTTTTTTTTGGTTCTATCCATTTCTAGATTTAAAGAGATATTTTAAACAAGGTTGCCTACATCAGAAGCGCTTTGGGACATATAAAGCTAAAGATTTGCAGTTCTGCTTTTTTCCTTGAGTTCCTCCCAGGAGCAGAGCTACAATCAAAGGCTCTGAAAAGAGTTACCAGCAAAATAAAACCTCATCTCTTTTAAGGACGTTCTGTTTCTCCCTTGGAGAAGAATTTCTGGATACTTTCCATCCAGATATAATTCATAACACTGTGGACACAGTCCACCCTCAAATTTCTGGGATGGCAAGGACCTCTCCAGAAAGCAGATTTCCAAAAATGGACAGTCCACCCCACTTCCCCATCCACCAAGGTTCTGAAAATGCAGAACATTCCTATTTTGCACCTTTGTATTGCAACCCCTAGGTCTCTAAGTAAGAAGCAGGAGGCCTTTGGAGATTAAAAAAAAAAGAGCATTGTAAACATAGAGATTTGGGACCTTGAGTTCCTGTGTTTTGTTTTGTTTTCACACATTCTAAGCCTTTTAGCAAATCAAGGTCAGCCTTGGGCAAGCTGGTAGACCATCTGCATATTTTTCTAGACCGTAATATGCAAGTGGTTTACCTTGCACAGCTTTTCAAGATCAGTTGAAGCTGTCTTAAGTTCTCAGCTTGAGCAAAACCTTCACTAGGATGCTAAATCAAATGTTGGCTGGGGAATTCTGGGAGTTGAAGTCCACCCATCTTCAAGTAGGCCAAGCTTGATAAACATTAGTCTATTTCCCGGAGATTCTCAATCATCCAGGTCACGGTTACCCAAAGGCGTTTTGACCAAAGACATTCTTGGTTTTCTCCTTGAAAGCTTTTCCCTTCTCATCCCAGAAGTTACTTGAACTGAGGAAGCTTCTTGGATGAGAAGCA